GTGGGGGGGGGGGGGTTAAACGAGAACTTAAGAACCTGGATTGTTTTAAGATCCAGATTTCTGTTTTGAGTATCTTTTTCCATCTAATGCAGTATCAAAACAAAAAAAAATCTGCTAAAACAGATAATCTCACCAGTTGTCGAGGAGACATTTTCACAAAGCTGCAATTGCAGGTTGCTTTGAGTTCATTTGACCATGGAGATTTCCGATTCATCTGCAAGGCAGACGCGAAACGGAGACCATATTTCAATTGACATCAGGCATGGCGACCATCTCTTAACTTCTATCAGAAGAAAAATGGAGACGATTTCTTGTTCGCATTCCATTTGCAGGGTCAAGGAAAACATTCGCAATGCAGATGAGATGGCATACATCCCTGACAAAGTTTCAATTGGTCCATACCACCATGGCAAGCAAGGATTGGAAACCATGGAAGAGCACAAGTGGCGGTACATGTATGCACTCCTCAGTCGAAAGCCAGACCTGGAAGCATCCCTGGATGATTGTCTCACAGCTCTAAGGGAGGTGGAACATAGAGCCCGTGCATGCTATGAAGAAGATATCAACGTCACAGATGATGAATTCCTGCAAATGATGTTAGTTGATGGTTGTTTCATCATTGAACTCTTCCTGAAGTACTCTATAAAGAGTTTAAGACGCCGCAATGATCCTGTATTCACCACTCCTGGAATGCTCTTCGATTTGAGATCCAATTTGATGTTACTAGAAAATCAAATTCCCTTATTCATTCTTCAAAGACTATTTGAAGTTGTCCCAACTCCTAAACAATGTACGCATTCCCTCGCCACGCTCGCCTTTCGTTTCTTCAAGTATATGATTCCAGGAGATCCTCAAATCCATCAGCAGAAGTTTAACCAGGAAGGGAACCATATACTCGACTTAATCTGCCACTGTCTGCTTCCAACATACCCAAGAGTGCCGGGAACCAAGTCAGATCAGAAACATTTTCGTTGCGCAACAGAACTCCAAGCTGCAGGAATTAGGATCAAGAGGGCCAGAACAAAAAACTTATTGGACATAAAGTTTGTCAACGGAGTCCTTGAAATCCCAAATGTACTAATCCATCAATACACGGGAAGTCTCTTCAAGAATCTCATTGCGCTAGAGCATTGTTCAGGTGACAGTGTGCAACACATCACCTCCTACGTTTTTCTCATGAAGAGCCTAATTGGAAGTGACGAAGATGTGAAGTTACTTAAAAAGAAAGACATTCTTACAAACTATGATGTCACCGAGAGAAATGTTGCTGAACTGTTTGAGAAGCCATGTAAGGAGTTGAATTTGAATGAATCTTACTATGATCGGTTGTTTGAACAAGTGAAAGGGCATAAAAGCACCAGGATGACTTGGCATCTACGGTATGAGGAAATTAAGCGAAGTTATCGTAGAAATCCTATGGTACGTTTAGTTGTTCTTGTTTCAATTTGGGCCTTCTGTCTCGCCCTTGTAGGAACCTTGGTTTCCGTACTTGCTGTTGTTCTTCATCGTTTTTAGAATTTCTTAAGCATCTTAAATCTTGCTAATTACCATTTGATGGCTTAAATCTTGCTATTTACCATTTGATGAAAATGTTAATAAAATAATTTTCCTTTTCAAGTGTTTTCAATTATCCTTCATTTCACTCTTGTACATAGCCATAAATTTTACACAGGCAAACTTCAAAAACCCATTACACGACCGACGAAGATCCCAACAGAAGAAAGCTTCCATATATCTTGATTACAAATAAATGAGAGATTTAAAAAACAAGTTAGGTGAGTTTAGTGGATTTGAGTTTTGATGCAGGGGGGTACACGGTGATAAGAACGTTGAAGGAGGACCCAAGACAGGGTGGATTGGAGTTTCCACTGAGGCTGCTCTCCGACGTTAGTGGCGATTCTCGCGTGGCGTGGAAAAGACTAGACTCCCGGCCCTCCCCGAGTGAAAGTTGCCACTTGGCCCGATGATCTGTTTTTTTTCCGCTTACAGAGCGTGCAACTGTGCACGGTTGTCTCGCACCGGTGAATTACGGGTGATAATTGTATATTTGACTAATTAACCTAGATTAATTAATTTTAATCTACATTGATTTATTATATTATTTCTTAATATTTTAAAACGATATTCATTCTGTTGTTTTTTGAATATTTTGAAAAACTTTCTTTCAATACATGTCTGATTTTGAATTTATAAATTATTTAATATATAATGTTTAAATATTTTTATTGCATTTGAAATAAAAAAAATTTACACGCGACATAACACCTACCAGTCTAGTTAATTAAAAAAAAGGGGGACAAGTCACTGGAATCGAGGGCCTGTATCCAAAGGGAAGCCCATTGAAATGGATACCAAATATTGATCAAATCCAATTATCAATTAAAACCAAATATTGATTTATTTTGTTTCATAATATTATTATAAGAATGAGGTCCATTATAAGAGCATATAATATTGCGTGG